AGATGAGAAATGTTACACCCCGTCCTTTTCTAAGTCGAAAAGACCATTGTGTCTTTGGTGTAATTTGTCAAGTTACACCGTAATATCGGTAAAGATAAAAAGATATGAAATTTCGTTCAAACGGTGTTGAACTTCAATACAAAATGAGCAAGTTACAGACGTATGTTGAGTTTTTGAATCAAGACCCAATCAAGGACCGGGTTGAGTGGGCTTTACTATTTGGGCAGTCAGGAAGAGAGACTAAAAGAGAGGGAGAGGAAGTAGACCAAAACCCAAATGACATTAATAAAGAGGTTAAGGAGGAGCTGGGCCGCTGGCAATTTATGTAGAAAAAAGGGGCTTAAGCTCGTTAATGGGAAACAAGGATCGGGGTATTACAAAATGTGTTATTGTTTTTTTTTCGTTTTTTTCTAACCTATATTGAACCTGTCATGATAGATATTTTTAGTTTCGATCTTATTTTTTATTTACTTTTATTACTTAAAAGTGAAGTTATCATACAATTAAAATAATTTTATTTTAATTATTTTCACAATTTTTCTACGATAGCGATGTAAGAAACTTTGCTCCCCCCAACCCTGGAACACCAAATCCTGGCACCGCCCCTATAACTACTTCTTTCATTTTTTTTCCTTCCTACTTCCTTTTCTTTGATCTATCAACATTCATCTCATCCCTAAACAGACTACAGATGGCAATTTGAACCCATCCAGCGGGTACTATCTGAGCAAACTTGCGATGAGGTGGGTATTACCCAACCCGCAATAGCATGGGGCGGGGATGGGTATCTAATTGTGACCCGCCCTACCCCGCCCAGTTCTTGGCCCATTCTATCTCAATTTCTTATAATATCTATTTATATTTTAACAATTCTTCAACTAGTTAGAGTCAATCGTTCAACTAGTTAGACTCAATTACTCATTCTATTATCAGTATATTTCATTCATAAGTATTTTCCCATCCGTTTAATTGTAAAAAGTAAAATTTTACTTATATTTTTTTCAAATAACATATAAGAGTGGATCGACCCACCCTTACTCATTCTATTACCCTCCCCGACCCACAATAGCATGAGACGGGGCATCTACACAATAAATAAAAGCCAAATGAGAAAACTTGAAGCTCCATTTCAAATTTCCTGCATCCAGAGTGAAAGTAGGAAGGGTAGATTCGTCTTCACAATCACTTATCATTTTCTTATTTACAGAAAAAATACATCAGTAATGAGATTTGAACCATGGTCTCTTCGAACAAAGACAAGAAACATAACCAGTTACAATAAACACATTTGTGTGATATTTTTCAAATAAAAACATACAGAAGCTTAAATCTAAAAAATATAAGACTTTTCCACCACGGTTAGCAACCGAAATGTCATTGATTCAAATATTGCATATATTGAATTGCACTTTTGAATATGTAGAAGCGATGTAGAATTCTTAACATAGACTTAATTGTTATAACTATCATAAAGTAACGATATTTTTAAACACAGAACTTTTGAGTGAATATGGGGCACATGTGTCTTTAAGAGAGGGGTAAATATGGAAAGATTGAGTGATGTTGATTTGTCGAATGCGGATTGAAAAGATGCAACTAATGTAAACGGGTCCAAATAGTGCCCCGACCCACTAAACGCTCAACCATCGTCGTCTCTCCAAACTTCTCATGAGACTCAACAACCGGCTAACCTCCTCTACCTCTATTGTTAAGCCAGAGCAATTTTCGGAGGGGTAAATATGGAAAGATTGAGTGTTGTTGGTTTGCCCAACGTAAATGGAAAATGTGCTACTAATGTAGACAGGCCCAAATAGTTTCCGACCCTCTAAACTCTCAACCACCAGGTTACTTTCGCTACACCTAATATAAGAGTGAAATGGCAAATGTGCTTCCCCCATTACAAAATACCTGCATCCATAGCAAAAGTAGGAATGGTAGATTCGTCTTCACAATCATTTATTATTTTCTTATTCACAAAAAAAATACACAAGTGATCGGATTTGAATTTTGTCTCTTTGAGAAAAGACAAGAAACATAACCAGTTACACTAAATAAATTTGTTTAAACTTTTTAAATTAAAAACATACAGGAAGTTTAAATCTGAAAAATCATTGGAATTTTACATCACAGTTAGCTAAGCCACTAACTCTTCCCTGAATATTTTTTTGGTATTTGATACTTCTATTTTCATACTCTGATTATTTTAATTCGAGTTTGACAATTAATTCTATTTCTCTTTATCTTATAAAAGGAGAATAATTTTAAAATCGCAAGCCTAATGTCATTGGTGCAAATATTGCACATCAGACTTAAATAATATAACTACCAAAAAGCAACAATATTTTTGAACATAGAAGTTTTGAGTGAATATGTGGCACATGTTTATTTAAGAGAGGGGTAAATATGGAAAGGTTAAGTGGTGTTGGTTTGTCGAATGCGGATTGAAAAGCTGCAACTAATGTAAATAGGTCTAAATGGTGTCCCGACCTACGTACTGAATGATCAACCATCGTCGTCTCTCCAAACCTTCCCATCGGACTCGACAACCGCCTAACCTCATCCACCTATATTGTTAAGCAAAGCAATTTTTGGAGGGGTATATATGGAAAGATTGAGTGTTCTTGCTTGGAGAGCTGACTGGTGGGTTATTTAGTTTCTTTGACAGTAATGTGTGATCTCTTAACATCAGTTCATTTGGTTTATCTTCTAGGTTGACTTTTGAGTTTATTAAATATAAACAGTGTCCCGGGCTCCCGCCCTATTAAAGGCTCGACCATCACCGTCTCTCCAAACCTTCCCATCGGACTCGACAACCTCCTATCCTCCTCCACCTATATTGTTACACAAAGCAATTTTCGGAGGGATATGTATGTAAAGCTTGAGTGTTCTTGATTGGAGAGCTGACTGATGGGTTATTTAGTTTCTTTGATAGTAATGTTTGATCTCTTAACAGTTGTTCATTTGTTTAATCTTCTAGGTTGAATTTTTAGTTGATTAAAGATAAATAACTATACTTTTTGTTTCTTATGTGATGATACTCCTTTTCAGTATTATCATTTTTCTGATTTGAAATGTTTTGGTGGTTAGTTTCCAGTAAACAAAGACTATTCTGATTAGTGTTAACATAGGGAATAGCTTCAATCATACCACTTTTACACAAAATTTATATGTAAGAGCTGAGATCATTGCCGAATTGAACTATTCAAGCTATAATGCTGATCTTCAACATATAAAACATAGTTTATTTTGAGTGAAACAACCTCATGATTGTAGATAAGTTTTTACAATATGATGTTTTGTGATAGTGTTTACTTGCTTATAGATTTAAAAGTGAGGTTCTAATTACTACAATCTACACATAATATAATAGCATGAAGGAAAAAATCCTTCCCCCATTTCAAATTTCCTGCTCCATGAGCGTTTGTATGAAGAGTATAATAGGGAGTGCCAATTTTTTTCTCTTTCCTCTGTGGAACGAGCCAACTTACCGTACACGTGCGGACTTAAACGGGCCCAGGGATTGTTGCGGCCCACAAAAACATAACAGGTTTCAGCCACGGCCGCATCTTTTTCATGCCTCCATAACGATCACCGTAACCGAGTCTTGGATTGTTCCGATGCTGGATCTAGACTCCACCAACGCCGAGAATAAATGAGATAATTAGAGAAAGAGAGCTTCATAATTGTTTACAAAATAATTTCCCCAATCCTTCTTCCATGTGCTAATCGCCTAATCCCTTCCCTATGAAAAGAAATCCAAGCATACTAAAAAGATCCAGTCATGCTCATGAAGAAGGGTAATAAATTACATGCAAGTAAAATTTAAAGATTGAGTCATTTAATCAAATCATAATCAACCACCCCCTTTTTCCATCATTTGTAAGTTCTAACAGATAAGTGACAAAGAAATCCACAATATTGCTTCACTGTAACAATATAGTATTATTGAAGATTGGTGGCTTTCTCTTCTTCTTTGTTAAACTGGGTTTAAACAAGTGATAAGAGAATGGAAGATTAAGAAATGAAAAACAGAGACCGAGAGGGGGTGAAAATTGACGTTCGGGGGGAGGATGACATGCAGGAAAAAGGTTTGCAAAGCTAAAATTAAGGACAAGAAAACAGGGATGGGGAGAAGTGGCTACCGGCAATGATATAATTGAGATGGAGAGAGAGAGAGAGAAGTGAACCATGAGCCGGTGAGCACTGAGCAGCTTTTTCTAGGGGATATAGGGTTTTCTTTAAGCCCTTTGATTTATCAGTGTTGGTAAGATAGATATGAAATGACAAACAATACTCATTTTTTATTGCTAAAAAGAAAAAAAATTAACAATAAACTAATGCATGGATTCTAATGGGCTAACCGCTAACCATAGAAAAAAGAGTTGAATGAGCCTGACTCATACGAGATTTGACCATCAAGTTTCAAGTAAAACAAATGAACATCATGGGTTTGCCATCCTAAAACATGTTATTTTCTCTAACATAACATATATTATCCTATTATTTAATCTTAATGGCTAAAATATAATGTATTTTAAAGGTATTAAATGGTTCGACCTCGACCAACCTGATTAGTCCAATTTTTATAATTTCAAATATATATTATGTAATTATTTGATATCCTAATGATTAAATTATAGTGTATTTTATAAGAGATTTTTTATTCGGTTTTCTGGAATTCGATTTCTATAAAATTTACTCCACCTCATCATATTACCAGAAATAATAATGTTTCACGAGGTAACAGGTACTCGAACTTGGTTAATAAGGCTGATTTTTTGATTCGTTGCATCATCCATGCCTCTTTCCTGCTAAAATTCACTATTTATCATGTGTTTCCAAAAAAAAAAAATTACACAACAATAAGCTATACACCCCATTACATTCTCAAATTTCATATCTCACCTTCCTCCGGCCAACTGGCCGGGGCCCACGCTAGTACTATTTAGATACCCAAACCACGCCATTGCCATCACTAAAAGATACCCATCATCTCCTACCACTTCTGGAAATAGCGCAAATCTGCACCGTCATAAAGCTCTATCAGTCAAAGATTTATTGATCTGCAACCTCCTTTAGCAACAGTCACCAGCGGCTTCCTTCACTGCTGTCGTCTTCTACCTTGTTTCACAACCAAAGGATTAGGCTAAAATAATTCCTATTTCTTGTACCTGAAGGAGGAAGTAGACCCTTCCATAATCTCAATCCATGCCTTGATATAGTGAAGATGAAAGAAGATAGAGAGTTGGAAAGGGAATTCTTGAAGTAGAGCGTCCATAGAAGGAACGATGAATCTGGTAGGTACCAATGAGTGAAATGGTTTATGAAATTGAAGATTTCTTGAAAGGATTTAATTGAAGTCAATGAAGAAGACATGATTGAATCAATGAATTGAAGTGGATGAAGAAAATAACTCTGAAAATTTAGAGAAAAATAGGAAGAAGAAGAAGACAGAGAGAAGAGGAAAGAGGTTTATGGACAAAATTGTTTTCTTGGGTTCTTCCAATCAAATTCCAATTCCAAACCATTCTTCGGTTAACCATTCTGACCGCTATCTGGCAGCCTAGTCTTTTGTTGGCAGTTTTTTAGTGGATTCGTGGTCAGGTCTGGGTTTTATTTGTGTACCCTTTAAACCCATGAGTTAGTGCCTCAGCCTATACTTAATGGACATCGACAAGATCATAAAAAAAAAAGTAGCGAAGTCCAAATCATTCTCTACTAGTAACGGTATAAAAGTTTGTTCATGATATGCTACTTGTTAGCAAATGTTCCCATTCTCTACCTTGCCAAAGGATTTGACTGAATCGCTGGATAATCACGAAGAAGGGACTGAAGCTCTTCAACATAAATTCCTAGATGGCTGGAGCTTCCCTTTTGCGGCTCTGCACCTGTTTCGCTCTGTTTTATCTTCTTCCCTGCCGCCTCCTCTGCTAGTACATCTTCATGAAATAGCTTGAGAGCATTGGTCGTTGTAATAGAATTCACCGACTCATACAATTCGTGAAATTTCTCTCTTTTTTCCTCTGGTTGAACCAATTTTTCCTTCAAACCATCCGGCAAGGAAGAAAGCGCGCTTCATGGAGGAAAGAGAAGCATACAAATTAGAGAGCACAAAAAATTTGGTACAAACCCAAGGATTCAAAGACCTCCCGCGCAAGATACCTCAGGAAAAGAAGAAGAAGAAGAAGAAGATAATACCTAGTAACGCCCCTAACGGTGCCCCAGTTGTATCCTGCAATCACTGACTGCTTAAACCCAATGTTGAATCCCTCTTGAGCAATAGTTTCTTTCCCTGCAATCAGGCCATCACGATATCCAATCTGGTGTTTTTCCAAACAAGATTAACATACTTGTTCAAGAAACATGTACAGAGGACAATTCAAAAATAGGCTTAGAAACTACAAGCAAGCTTGAAAAAAATTAAAAAATTTACTGCATGAAACTCGTCGCGTCTCTTCTGCCACTCCCTATCCAAATCAGAAGGTTTATCCAATCCATCTTCTGAACCACCCCACAGAGATCCATCATCATTATCATCCTGCAAGTCGCCTTCACATAACCTCAAATTAGGTCGAACAAAAGTTCATGCCCTTGAAAGGCTATGCAAAGAAGGGCTTCCACGCAAAACACAGACTGATCCCAAAATAAACGAAAAGGAAAAGGAAGGTATTCTTTTTCTAATACATGGTGATTCACTATTGCATAGTTGATATAGAAGCCGTGTAAGCTCTGGTAGGTTGAAAAGGTTACACATCTATGCCCTTCCAATGACATTTTTTTGTTCAATGCTATAAGCTAGGTATAAAGAAGGAAAGCCCAGACTTTGACAAATCTGTTCCAGCAGTGAAAACAAAATAGAAAGAGCATGTCAGCATCTAGAAGTCCCATGTTCTACAATGTCAATCAACATGAAATCCATCGGGCAGACGTGGAACTTACCCACTGTTGTATTATGTGCACAAACACCAGATAGAGATCATGTGGCAGACTAAGTCATGATGATTCAACCACTGATTCCAACATAAAATTGTTCAATAATCTGACTCATTTGATTCCAAAAACAAAGTTCATCGATTCATTAGATCCAGAAACCTCTACCTTCACATGTCACAACACACACGCAACTCCAGCAACAAAGTACTCAACCACATTTACCAGATAAGAGTAAACAGAGAAAAAAAAAAAAACAGAAAAGGATGCTCAGGCATCCTAAATCGACTAACGAACTCCAAACCCCTAGGTAAGCAAGAATCAATTCTTAAAGAGGTTTTCGAAATAACAAGTCAAGGGTTTCACAACTGCTTTCCAACTGGCCTCAAATCATGAATTCCAGCAAAAACTTGGCATACAAATCCTTCATAATGACAGGACTGAAGCTTAATTAGCCAAAGATCCAGTAGAGTGCTTACAGCCGGGTGTGGCTGGATCAGCCAATTGGGCAGTAGCAAGATCCAAGCTTTCCGAGTAAAGCTCCTTAGCGAAACTTCTATCCATCCCTAAATCTTATTGATATGCCCGCTGTATGATCAATCTCCAACCAAGTTGCCGCCAGGTGAACTCAGCCGCAAACACCAACCAAGTAATTTCGTGCTTTCCGCTGTCTCCCCCAAAGTAGCTCCCTCTTCCTTTGCCGCGAAGAGGACCAGCAATCCCCAGCAAATTTAACCCCACAATCTTAGGGTTCGAGTGGTTCCAGCATGGTGACGTGTGCAGAGAGCTGCCAAGTATAAATATGAGGAGTCGTGTTACTACTGGGATCTTTGACCAATTAGCTATTCTGTAACTACTTTACCAATTTGTTAGACTACATATACACAATAAATAAAAGTTAAATGTTTCATACATCTATAAGATATATGAAGCCAAAACAAGTGTTTAGTTTGCAGGGATTCAAATTTCCAGCCCGCAGAGGGTTTGTCGGAAGGGCACTTTAGGCAATTCACATTTAAATAAAACTGTGCGTTTCACCTCCAACACATTCTGCCAGTGGACCGGGCCAGTTTATTATATAGTCGGACCGGGCTGTTGCCCCCTGAAGTATCCGGCCCAAACTCTTCCCCCTTGACGTAGTCGGCCCAACGACTGCTGGTGAAATGCTTCCATCGAAATCTCACGGAACCCATATTCAGCTGCCGTGGTGCTATATTTTAGCTGGAAAAATGGGCTTATTTCCTATGTGGCTCATGAATTAATCGGGCCCAGAGTTTTGGCAAAACCCATGGCAAATGACTACACACAGCCGGGATGATACATTCCAAATTCACCTATCTAAATTGGGCCTGTGGGGTTTTTTTATTTTGTTTGGGCGGCTTCCTAAATGCATTGGCAGCGAGTTCCAACTCTAAACTCTAGAGTACAATAATTTAAAAGGAATTACCAAATAGCAAGGAAGGTGATAGTAAACAAAGAGCAAAATTATATGATGCTCAAAATATGGTTACATGAAGGACCACCTCAAAAGGATAATAACCTTTCAAAAAATATTTGCGTTCACATATCCATTACGCGGTTAGATAATTCGAAATTAGAGCGAGGTGGACCATTACTAACATTAATCCGATTATATTAATAATACCCTACGCTACTTAGTCATCTAAAATCGGGAACAACTTAACCAAGAAGAGATCAAGACGATTCTCCACGTTGTTCCAAGGTCCGAATGTGACCAAGACCCTATATGGCGACTCACCAATCATGTTGAGTAGTGGAATGTACTCCACATCTTCCATCTCATCAGGACCAACAACAGCAGACATGACTCGCCGTAAGTAAGCTGATGGAAATACGACCTCAATATCGGTGATGAAATCTTCAATTGTCAAGTGAAGCAAGTATATGCTGGATGCGGCATGCCAAGATCTCCTCAATTCTGTGACCCAGCCATTGAAAATGTATGACTTGCCCTGGTACAAGCCAAAACATAAGGAGTTCAAAATAAGACCAAATTAGATGCAAATTCTTTAGATAAAATATAGATTCCGGATAGATAAAATACATGTTATCTGATTCACCTGATTAGCAACATCCAATTGCATAGGGATAAGATCTATCGTTTCTACATTGTCCCAAATTCTTGCGGCAACTTCATATTGCAGATTTGAAACGAAGTCTCCCATGGAAAAAAATCTATAATTTAGATTAGTAGCAATATTAGCAACTCTATCAACAAATGTTAGAGCTGTAAAACTAATCAACTAATTATGTAAACCCGAATATACACAAACAATAGCAACCCAAGACATGAATGTGTCAATACAAACATACAAAGTTTCCTTGGAGTATCGAACTAAAAAAAAAAAAAATCTGGATGATAAGATTGTAGTAGATCTGGAGAAACCTAATTTGAAGGCCAGCAAGCGAATGTAATTGATGAGTGGGCTGGAAAAATTGGTTGAAGTTCTTGATGAGAGGAAAGGGGAGATTTTGCCGAGGTAGGGTTTTAGAAATTACCTTTTAGAGATGCTGAGATAGGGCTAACGTCGATCAGGCAGAGAGAAGGCCTGGAAAATGAGTGCATGCACTGGAATGGGTTTCCAGTTGCTTTGTTGGCCGGAGAGTGAGCAGAGCAGAAGAAGGCGTCAGGGAGGAAGGGAGTTGAAACGTCTTCGGCTGGGTCTTTACGCGGTAAGATTTTAGAACTTACCTCCTGGAGATGTAGAGATGGTACTAATATCGGCCAGTCAGGGAGGGCTGGATCATGAGTGCATGCAATGGCTTGGTTGGACTGTTGGTCTTCGCGCCGGCGAGTGAATAGTGACGTCGTGCCTCGGTGCCGTTGTTGGAGTCCGCGCGAGTGGCGATTCGACGGTAGGGTTGTTCGACGAGGGAGAATGAGCGAGCGTAGTGGGAGGGTCGGGGTTTGCGGCGGGAGCGGGAAGCAAGAGAATCAGAAGATGGCGGGTTGGGGATGTGGATGGTCAGGTTTCTGTGGAGGGACTGGAGGGTAGGTGAGAGCGATGGAGGAGGGAAAGGAAGAAGGGAGTTAAACCGTCTTCGGGTGGGTGGGAGGTTTTTATTGTTTTTATTTATTTTGGTTTTTATATTTGTTTGATCCAAACGTGGCTATGCCTGTCCATTTGGTTTGGGTTTTTTGGGTTTTAACCAAACACAAACCAATTGGCAAGCTAATTGTTTCGTTTGGTTTGTTTTAAACCAATAAGCAACTTAATGGTTTTGGTTTGGTTAAAACCGAAAAACCAATAGAAACCATTAAGAATACAATTATTCATCCGCAAGTTTTTTTTGTTGTTGTTTCTTTTGACACGCATACCAACCAATAATTTGTGCTGACCATACAGATATGTTTTCGTCAAATGATAATAAATAAATGAAAACCTAACTCTTTTTTTTTACTCGATGATACGAGTGATTTACTGGCTAAAAAATTCACTACTTCAAAATGGTATTCATTTATTTTATCAATCTGCCAACCCTAGCGATGCATTGTCAATTGATTCACATTTATGAGAAAATGACACACCTAATTTCAACTCCTCCTCCCAACCAACAAACCGCTGCTGAAAGGGATCGTCTTAAGCAACATAGTCCTGCGACTCATTTGGTAGTACATTAAATCAAGTTTGAAGGTCTTACAAAATCATAATAATTTGATATGTATATTTCACTTGCAGGAATACTCACCATTCAAGCACAAGTGCACCATATTGATCGCTTGAGTTCCAAAAACCCTTTACTCTGAGAAAAACGTCATTGGGATCGATGTATTGCACCATCCCAATTAAATCTTCCCGTGTGTTAAATGTAAATTAACGAAAGAGAATTTTCTGTTATTATAGTTTAATTGATCAATAAAAAACAAATGGTAAATGAATTGGCAGAAATGTGGCAAAGCCCATTTCACTCTCCCAACTTTTATTGCCGCCAGTGCAAAGGGAAAAGTTCAGTTTAGGATATGTGCTTTTGTCTTTATACTTTTCTAAGGTAGATAGATATATAAATGGACCCATTCTAAATAACCAAGCGAAAAAGATATTTCACATGGGCCTGTTACATATGACGGTCCATCTATAGCCCACAACAAGATCTCATATGTGAATGTCGTTTCCCCTAATCAACAGTGGAGGAGGTTTCGGCCCACATGGTTTTTTTTGGTTTTTTGGGCGGCTTCCTAGCAGCATTGGAATCGAGCTCCAACCCTAGAGGCTAGAGTACAACACACAATTCTTGGCGCTACCATTGCCTTTCACCGGCGAGTGAATTGCGACCACAGTCTCGGATCCCCGTCGGCAGCGAACGCTTATTTGAGGATGGCGCTAGCTAACCGGTCTTCCCCATGCAGAACACCTGCCCCAAATATCCATCTCCCCATATCCCTAATTGGAAGAAGCAACCAATTGCCCAGACTACATCCGCCCCGAACATTGCAATTCAATTCAACCGGGTGCAGGTTGGAAGATGGTTTCCACCTGGAATCAGACGTCACGCAGTCAAAGCCTCAGCTCCGACTTTGGCCCTCTTTGCGGCGGCAGCGGGGAATAAAAGGAACCGAGCTGCTTTTCAATCCCAGGTACTCATTGAACATGGACGGTAAGGTATACTGGCTCTGTTTTGGCGTGTTGTCGGTCCTTGGGAAATTTACATTGGTTTATAACTGACATATTTGAATTTTCCCCCCTATTTCCATCTCCAGCTCTACACCCTTTGAATAAGCAGTTCACGTTGGTGTAGCAGTTACCTTCCGAAGATGTTGCTGTTGCTTGCCAACGTGGGGCAATTGGTAACTGCCCCAACTGGAATCCATATATATATACCTTCTCTAAATCTCTCGGCTCATTTTATATTTCAGTTGACGCTTGCTAAATCCCGCCAGGTAACTTCTTCTTCACAGAATTTTTTTCCCACTTCATTCCTCCATCAAACCAACCTCCTATTCCTACACTATAACTAAGTGCTTATGTACTTTGGTAGCTACACCATGGCATTCAATGGCATCCGAGATCTTGAGTCCGAGAAACAACTCTGGTCAGGGCATTGTCGCGTCTCCAGGGCATGGTTGGGTGTTAATGTGGCGACTGATAAAGTCCTGCATTTCGATCTCATCTTGATGGATGCCAAGGTACGGCTGTGTTTAACATTAACTTCAGTTGCGTCACATATCATCCAGACTGTCTTATTTCGTCTCTATAAATCCCCAGGGGAATGATATATGGGTGCATATCCCACCAGTTCTGCAAGAACACTTCAAACGGTTGCTGAAGGAACAGCAGGTCTACACCATTAAAAACTTTGAGCTTCATACGACCCAACTAAAATATCGCCCCATTGCCAATACATATATCATGTCGTTCTCCCGGAAGACTACTGTTGAGCATGTTCCCGATGTCCCTTCCATTCCTGCCTTCAAATTCACATTCCTCAAAGCAAGTGAGATGGCATCTAAATTGAATGATGTGGTCGTCCTCTCAGGTTACAACCGCAATTTATTCAGTGGTTGATTTCCTTTCTGTGCTTGCTTGCGTCTAATTTCCATTAACTTTTCTTTGTATAGATGTTGTTGGGCAAGTAGTACAGCACTCGGATGCCATCAAGACAACGAATCTTGCTAGGAAAACCATTCGGAAGGAGCTTCAACTGAAACTAATTGAGTAAGAGCTATCTTTGCTACGGTTGTATCAATATGAATTTGGAGTTACATGAATGATTGATGATTGCTTGGGTACAACGTTCTACTTTTTCTAGGCAGTATAAATTTAGATCATAGGTTATTCAGCCTCTGATCATATACATTTATATGGCTCACTTCATTGTATGGTGTTCATTTACACCCATGCTTAGGCATTACTTATGTTGTCAAACCTAAGCCTACGTTGTTTTACAGAGGGGATGTTGTCAAAGTTATTATCTGGGGAAGAGTTGTAGCTGACTGTGATAAGTTGATCAAGCCTGGTGATGATGAACAAGTCATACTGGTTGTAACTACGGTTTCTGTCAAACCCTTCCTAGGTACAACATCTGTTTACCCTGTGCTGCATTTGAGATATATGGGTGACTGATCAGTGGGAACAACATTAATTTAATTTTTCAGGTGAACTTTGCTTTAATTCTTCGGGTTCAACAGTGTTGTATCCCAACCTTGATATCCCAGAAGTAAAGGCTTTCACAACCAGGTATTCTCTTTTAATTGCTAATGAATATCCGAACCATAGTGTTGAACCAATGTCAAATTAACATATTTATTTCTTTTGAAAAAGGAATGTGCAACCACAGCAGCCCGTGTTTGTTGAATTACCCCCACCCCCCTTCATCCCTAATATTACTCTATCGGAATTGCTGGAACTTCAATTGGACCCTGATAATGAGGTTAGATTATGGTGTTTTCTCTCATTTTACATTATGGTGTTTTCTCTAATCTATACGCCAATATTAATTCACTTCGACTACAACTAGGAATGTGTGTATGCTGTTGAATGCAAAGTCGTAGGAATCAAGCCATTTTGGTGTTATATGGGCTGTCCAACCTGTGTCCTTAAACCCATAGAAAGACATGGAGAATACTACTGTGTCAAATGCAACAAGCCAACACCAACAAGAGCTGCCAAGTAAATACCATATCATTGAGTTCCAAAATAAATTCCATCAGATCCTTGAATTATAAACTTCATTGAATATGCTGAATTTCCATTTCGTGCCTTTCCAGATACTGTATACAGCTTGATGTTGAAAGCAGTTCTGTGCCAGCGACCTTTATCATCTTTGAGTATGAAGCAAAACGCTTCTTTGGTGTCAGTGGGAATGATCTTTTCAATAGGACGGGTCAGAACAATGAGGTACCCCCTCCAGATCTACTCCAAATAGTTGGTGAGACCAAACTATTCCATGTCAAGTTCAAGATAAATCTCTACAGTGATTCACAAGCTGATTTCACCGTCTTAAAAGTCTTGGAACCCACAGAACAGGTGAGCTACTCATTAGATCTGCCAGACTTATAACTCTACTATACTGTTTTGTGTACAATGACTATGACATATGTTTGCATGACCTGATTCGTACTTGATTAATAATAGCTTTCATTGAATCCTCTTAAAGTCCTACTATTAATTGTTTCTACTTTCCACCATTTTTTTAATTTCAGTCTCCAGCTTCTGTTCTTCACAAAGATGCCTCATGTTCATCAATTACCAGTGGAATTGAGTCCTCCCAAACTTCATCGCAACCTTCCATCCCAGATCCAGCACATCAAGAGGCAGACAAAGGTGTTTCTGTTGATATCACACCTGATAATAAACTGAAACGAAAGATGCACCCAGAGTGATATCTGAGGGGTGGAACGTTATGTACCCAATACCCTATTAGTAGTTCCACTTTGATTCTGTAGAAGAACAGTTCAATTTCCTTTTGTTGCTAGACTGCTGGGTGTTTGTCGAAACTGTTTACTGGTTTTCCTTTGTTCCCGTTTGTTGTGTTGCACAGTGACAGTGGGTCGTTGTGCCATACAATGATTGATGGATTTCAATATACGTACCTATTCTCTTGGATGCAAAAACAGCAGTTGAGGAGTTGGTCGAGACAAGTGATATCAAAAAATACAACGTCAAATTCTTCAACTCTACTGAATTCCAACCCGCATATGTGAACGATCAATATTTGGCAAATTGAAATGCTTTATCACATCCTTTGACAAATAATGAATTACACACATCTTTATTTTCATCATGCCTTTCTTACATGGTTTCCCTATCCTATGTTTTCATCTCAGCATCCATTACATGCTCATACAATGGGCCCCATTGAAACATATTGAATGACATTTCAGAGTTCAATCCAGTACAGTTAAACAACTTGGACATCACCAAAGATCCATTTCATTTTGGAGTATAAGGAAAAGAAATGTTAATAATTACTAATCCAACTCTGACCAGGTAATTAGCATCAATGAAAGGATCATTGGCTGCTTCCATTTTCACATCATGCCGAGATCAAGGTTGCTATGTGCAGAACCAGACTTATGATTCGACCAACCCCTGCATTAGACCATTCACACCATTAGTCAGAATCCATACAAGTCTTAGGGTAAAAAATGTTAATAGTTCCTAAGCCGATGCTTACTAGGTATTGCTACTTTCGCTTGCCAATATGGCCTGTCATTTTCCTATTAAAATATATTATAAATACAAATAATAAGTCATTAACTGCCATGATCACCACGTTCTTCCACTATGCCACCTATTCTCAAGCTTAAACCAACTTCCTTCCCTGCAAGTCTATATAAAGAACATTTCCAGCACGTGAAAAGGTTTGCTCATCCAAAATATTGACTCTTTTCCAGCGTGCCGTATCAGTGATGGCTCTCCGCAATTTAGCCCAATTGAACCTCCATGACAATGACCAGGCTGTTCGCGTCAAGCTCCTGCGTTTATGGCATACAATGAGGCCTGATGGTGTAACGCTTGACCAAATCCACATGTACACTCGGTCAACTCCTACAAAAATGTCAACATTCATATTTTGCTCCCATTGAATATCATAATTGTTGGTCTGGACACCATGGTTGGATGTAACTGCGTCTCTAATGCTCTAACTTGACCACTAAAATATCAATTATCCTCTTACCATTCCCAAATGTAAGCTTTCATGTGGTTCATATTGCAGGGGAATTTGTACCTTACTACTGCAACAGTCAAGGATGTTACTGTTTCTTGGTCAAGTGTGCATCTCAAGTTTATGGTGAGGCTGACTGTTGCTACTGGTCCTCATGAGGCTTCTATCATGTTTATGACTACCAAGTTCCGGTGGATAGCGAGCCGTATCATTGAGGCTACAGACAAGGAATGGAGCAATGACTTCAGGACTCTCCTAGCTGCTCTCAGGGGGAATATATTGAAGTTTATGATTGAATTTGGAGATTTCAACGGCCAGACCAATGAGTTTGATTTGGTTCTTCGCAAATTATTCTGGTAGAGGGGGTAACGTACTTGAACAGTGCTTTAATTCAAAGATAATTTCTGTATAGTTGTTCCAATTATGAATGTTGAACTCTTTCCCCGAATAGATTATTACTTGGCTGCTCCATCTATCTCCTGTGGTTTTTACCAATGTGATGCTTATTATTATGTGCCAAATATTACAGCCCACTTATTAAATTTCATATATTCGTATAAACATTTTAACTGAACAATTTGTAACTTAAATTGACCAAAAAATGAATTCATTTTCATTTGATTTCATGTTCCAACGTTTGTCAAATGCGCCGCTTATGTTTAGTTTACCCGCCCAACGGGCCGGGCCCTGCGCTAGTTCAGAACAAAAGCTAAATGTTTCATACATTCTGAATGTAGGAAGGACATTTTGATCTTCACAATTATTTTTTTTTATTCTTTAAAAAGACACTTATTAGGATTCAAACCATGACCACTTTAAACAAAAGCAAAGATCATAACCAATCACACTAAGTACATTTGTTGTATTTTTTTTAAATTAAAAATATATAATCGCATAAAGAAAGAACCCTTCCCTCTTTTCAAATTCCCTGCTCCAGAAGCGTTTGTAGGAAGGGTAGAATAGGGAGTGTCAATTTTTTTCTTTTTCCTCTGTGGAACGGGCCAACTTACCGTACACATGCGGATTTAAACAGGTCCAGGAGTGTCAATTTTTTCTTTAAGTCCTTTTATTTCTCCGTGGTGGTAAAATATATATGAAAAGGCAAAAAAATACTCCTTTTAATTGCTAAAAATAAAAAAAATTAACAATAAACTAATGCATGGATTCCAATGGGCTAACCGCTAATCATAAAATAAAAGAGTTGAATGGGTCGGATCTACACGGGATTTTCCCATCAAATAAAACAAATGAACATCATGAGTTTGCCATTCTAAAACAAGCTATTTTCACTAGCATAATATATATTATGCTATTATTTTATATCTTAGTGGCTAAAATATAATGTATTTTAAAGTTATTCAATGGTTCAACCTCGACTAGGGGTGGGCATCGGTTCGGTTCGGTCGAAACCGAACCGAAAAGATGTATACCGGGTCGGCTGCTTCCTCAAATGGCCAAACCGAACTCGAACCGGAATATAATTCGGTTCGGTTCGCCCGAACCGAATTATAGATCGGTTCGGTTCGGTTCGGTGGTCAAACCGAAAAGGACCTGCTGTATGTTTGTGAAAGACCTGCTCATCTGTTTATGGCAGCTGCTGCCTCATTTTTTTAGAGGAACTTGAGATAACAAATAAGCACACAAAGTCTCAAACATCAATTGTCAACCATTCTAAAATTCAAGACAAGTACAAATACCAAAATCCACCATTCAAACATCAAAGTCTACCATATGAAAAGATAAATTACATCATACTTAAAAACATAAATTGAAACTCCAAAGTCCATTTATCATCTCTTGGTTCTTCATTGCTCCTTACTTCTTGTTTCTTCAATCTTGGACAATTGACTCCTTTGCTAGCCAAGGCCTAAGAATAAATAAAATAATATAGAATTATACATGAAAAAATGGTTAGTGATGAATAAATATAGAGATAAATACAAATAGAATAAAACCATTGCTCTAAAAAGTTAAGATTACCTACTTGTGAGATCAATCATGCATGAAATCGGAACTATCACAAAAACCACTACTAGATCCATCGCCATCGGTACGACCACTTGTTACATTCGAAGTGGAAGTAGATGAAACAAGGTTATCTCTAATGGATATTGCATCCATCAACTTGTTCAATTCTGCAACATCAAACCAAAAAAATCAATATAGACTAATCATAAGCTAAAAATCAATCACAATGTAAATATGTAATGCTAGTTTTAAGATTTTACCTTCATCTATTTTGTCAACCTCTTCCGCGTCCTCCTCATCTAATGATGGTCTAGAATCACCTCGAATCCAATCTGAGCTACAAATTAAGGCCTCCACTATTCTAGGAGTCAATGAACTTCTGAAATCATCGAGAATCCTCCCACCGGCACTAAATGCAGATTCGGATGCAACGGTAGAAATTGGGGCCGCTAGAACATCCTTAGCCATCATAGAAAGGGCTGGAAACCTCGAACAATTAACCTTCCACCAACCTAATACATCAAAGTTCATCTCCATCGGCTCATCAGCTTCACGAAGGTATCTTTCAAGCTCAGATTTGTTCACCGCCCCATCAATTTGCTCTCTATGTCGTTTATACTCAGCAAGAACATCAATCACATCATTACCACACTCCTCCACAATAGGAGTCAAAGTAGCAGTAGAAGCACCCTTATGTTGTTTTGACCTCCACACTTGTTCATAGTGAGCAAAGAGCTCAAATGTCGCCTTGCGCACATCTTCTGCCATACGTCCTCCCTTGCCATCTTCAGGATAGACCCTCTTCAACCCGTACTCCAGAAATCCCAGCTTGTACCTCGGGTCCATTACAGTGGCAATGTAGAGTAACTTGTTCATTTTATCAACATCACCCCAATACTTCTCATACTTTAGCTTCATCTTCTTAGCCATGACACTCAAGTCATAATCTTTTTCAACTTCTTCCACCCACTTGTTAATCAAATGATATAGGGAATGCACTTCTTGTAGAAACAAGTTAGAAGTAGTATAATGGGAACCTGAGATCTTCAAGGTGAAGTCATAGAAACGACCCAGAAAACCCATCATTCTCCTTGCATTATCCCAATCAGTCTTCTCAGGAACCCCAATTATGCCATGTCTATCTTTCTTGCTTTCCAAGTCCTTTCGAAATTGCTCGTCATACATTTCGTACATCATAAAGACCTTCTCAAACCTCTCAGCAGCTTGCAACATCAGGAATGTCGAGTTCCATCTTGTGGGAACGTCAAGACATAACCCTCGTTTTCCTTCTATCTTCTGAACTGCAGCAAACTCATGAAATCTTTTCAACCTTTCAGGTGAGTTTCTAATAAACCTCACCGCTTCCCTAAACCTCTTCACAGACAACGAGATATCTCCAAGTCCATCAGACACAACTAGATTTAAGATGTGAGCTACACATCTCATATGAAGGAATGCATTATCACAGATGCTAATACCTCTAGCATTGAACACTTCCTTCAATTTTGCAACAGCTGTATCATTGGAGGATGCATTATCCACGGTAATAGAGAATACCTTCTTAATTCCCCAACCATCAAGACAATCAACAATACCCTCAGCAATATCCACTCCCTTATGACCTTTAAGTTCACCAAAATTTATGATCTTCTTTCTTAACTTCCAATCTTGATCAATAAAGTGAGCAGTCAAGCACATAAAGCTATCTTGTTTGTTTGAAGTCCATGCATCAGTAGTCAAACACACACTTCCTTCGCAACTTTGAAAAAACTTTTTCAACTTGTCTTTCATCTCACCATAGAAACCAAAACAATCCCTGGTCATTGTTCTTCTAGAAGGAATATTAAACCTAGGGCAACATAGTGACATGAAGTACTTAAACCCCATCCCCTCCACAAATTTGAACGGAAGCTCATCAACGGTGATCATGTAAGCTAATCCCTTTCTTATAGCTTCTGGATCAAATTTCCAGTTAGTTAAAGCACCCTCATTCTCAATCCCAGTTTTCTCTAAGTTCAATAGTTGCTGAGTGGTACCTTTTATGCTCCTACAACCTCTTCGCATGTGAGCATTCATGGCATTGGTACCATTCTTTTGTGGATCAGCATCATACTCAATCCCACAAATGTCGCACCTTGACTTCTTATTGTCGTCCTTGTCATTGAACTTTGAGAACTGCTTCCAACATGGAGCACGTGGCTCCATATCTTTCCTTTTTGAGGATCGAATATGTGTTGTAGAACGAACACCAGCAGGAGGAGCTGAAGGATCACCACCCTCGGGCACGGGAACTTCATTCTCTGATGATTCTTGGTCCTAAATCATCCAAACACAAACATAAATCAAACCATTCTTCATTTTTGACCCCTGCTGTCTTTTTTCTATCTTTTTCCTCTTAATGCTATTAGCTAGCTATCTTTTTTCTATCAATTAACAAACATAAACATATATAAATCGAAGTCAATCAAACCATGCTTCAGACCTCAATAGTTCAATTAGGCCCCTGCTGTCTTTTTTCTTGGTTTTTTTTTATGCTAGCTAGCTTCATTTTACAGAATAGACATCAAAACTGGAAATAGATAGTTAACAAAACATGAACATCCTCGGTTGCAATATTTGGAATTGGACCGTCAGTGTGAGAAGAGCTGCCAGGATTTTTTCGTTTGCTGGATTTTCGATTGGTGGTGCTCATGGCTTTCGATGGAGAGAGATGGGCAGATGGCGACTGCCGTCGACGAGGGGCGACAATGGGGGCCCTGCGCCTGCACTGCTGGAAGCTGGATGGTGGTGGCTGACTGGCTGTCGTGCTCTGCTCTGCTACCCCCGGCGCCGGCGGTGACTCATGGTGCAGAGATGGAGGGCGGTGACTCTCGACTCTCGAGAATCGAGTTATTGTTGGGAGGCAGGCGTGGCGGCGACTGGAAATCAGTGATGGGATGGCGGCGGCGACGGCGACTGAGGGTCGGGAGACGGAACGGAATGGAGTTTTGGCAGTGGAGTGGAGAGACGAAGACGATCGATTCGAAGGAGACTGGCTGCTGGAGGGCGAGACTCGAGAGGCAGAGAGGAGAGGGTTAGGGGTTGTTAGGGTTTGTTTCTTTTGGGTTGGGATTGGGTCCTTGGGAGGCTGGCTGCTGGGCTGGGTTTCTTCAATTGGGTTTGGGCTTGCAGCCCAGCCCTTGCCCCTTGGCCCATTACCACTTACCAGCTTACACAACATTTCGGTTTACGGTTCGGAATTCGGAATTCGGTTTCGGGTGGTACCACCATGTATTCCGAAGTAGAAGGATTTTGCATCCGAATTCCGATCCGAAATGAAGGAAATTCGGTTTCGGTCGGTTCGGGGTCGGTTTGGTTCGGTTCTGAGAGTTAAAACCGGACCGAACGCCCACCCCTAGCAGAGAGGAGAGGGTTAGGGGTTGTTAGGGTTTGTTTCTTTTGGGTTGGGATTGGGTCCTTGGGAGGCTGGCTGCTGGGCTGGGTTTCTTCAATTGAGTTTGGGCTTGCAGCCCAGCCCTTGCCCCTTGGCCCATTACCACTTACCAGCTTATACAACATTTCGGTTTACGGTTCGGAATTCGGAATTCGGTTTCGGGTGGTACCACCATGTATTTCGAAGTAGAAGGATTTTGCATCCGAATTCCGATCCGAAATGAAGGAAATTCGGTTTCGGTCGGTTCGGGTTCGGTTCGGTTCGGAGAGTTAAAACCGGACCGAACGCCCACCCCTAACCTCGACCAACCCAATTAGTCCAATTTTTATCATTTCAAATATATATTAGGTAATTATTTGATATAATAATGATTAAATTATAGTGTATATTATAGGAAATCATTTGGTATTTGTTAGTAAAAAACTAAACAGAAAGATTTATTTGGTTATTTTTAACATTAAAACGATCCTAAACATTTTCAGTTTCCTTTCGAAATTCTATAGTTTTATTCCGAAATCAGTGATGTGCAAATGGCGAATTGCAGTCATCTCTTTTCTTTCATTATTTTTTATTTTCAAATAGAAAGTAAAAAAGTAAAGAATAATTAGAGTTTGGCATGGGTCGGTCAAACAGGCTGAATTTCAAGTTTTTGCCCATTTTGATCAAGTCTAATTTGTAATCACATGGTTTCCTGATACTCGATAAAAATCTCAATCCAAACCAGTTTCGCAGGTGAGTTTGTGTTTAACAAATTTTCTAGGGATACAGAACGGTAGTTCCTATCCCAAATCGTGTTGTTCATTCTTGATTTCTTTAGATTTTATCATGGCTTGGCAAAAACCAGAAAGCACAATGATGACAAGATGAAAGTTTTATAAAGCAAATTAATCGGCCAACGGGCCGAGTAAAAGCTAGCAACGATTGTGAGATGCTCATTTCCCGAAAACCGGCGGGATAGGCGATTTTTTATTCGATTTTCTGGAATTCGGTTTCTATAAAACTTAGTCCACCTCATCATATTGCCAGAAACAATATTGTTTCACAAGTAACAGGTACTTGATTTTGGTTCATAAGGGTGATTTTTTATTCGTTGCATCATTCATGTCTCTTTCCTACTAAAATTCACTATTTTTATCACATGTTTCCCAAAAAAAAAACTATACAACAATAAGCTATACACCCCATTACACTAGCAAATTTCATACCTCACCTTCCTCCGGCCAAATGGCCGGGGCCCACGCTAGTTAGAAATAAAACCAAAAAATTTTCCCTCCGTTCTATCTTCTTCTTTCCCGTCTCTCCTTCCCATTTCGCCGGATTCAGCCATTGACGATCCTTACAAGTGGTATCAGAAGGCTTTCCTCTGACAATGGCGACAAATACTTTTCGCATCGTGGATTTGGCGACTCAGATGACAGAGGTTCAATTGAAGCTCGATACTCAGTATCAAGATCTGAAGGAAGCCATTTGTGATTTGACGGCTTCAACGAAGGATAATATTGACACTCTGGCGGCTTCCATTGCTAGGGTGCGGGAGAAGTCATCGGTTCGCTCGCCGCCGCATGCCAATACAAATCATTTCTCCGAGCACCAACACTTTCGTCACCAGCAGTGTCGGTCGTCGATTCTCGATCACTATCCCCGCCTTGAGTTTTCTTCCTTCTCCGGGTCAGATTCGCATGTGGGTCAGCAAATGTATCATGCTCTTCCAACTCTACTCTATTCCCGAAGAGCAAAAGATGGAGTTGATTTCATATTACTTGGAAGGCAGAGCTCATACATGGTTCGAAGGATGGTCTTTCGGAAGATTTATGTTGATTTGGGGGCAATTCGTCGACGAGTTGCTTCGTCGATTCGATAATCAAGAGCAGCTGAATGTGGTGGCGTCTTTCAATCATCTTCGCCAGACGAATTCTGTTTCTCGCTATCAAGAGGATTTTGAGGACTTACGCTCACATATGCTTCGCCTCAACCTGGCGCTTAACGAGCAATTCTTCATCCTCATATTCTTGGGGGGGCCTTGACGATGAAATCCAGCCTCACATATAGGTGCTTAATCCTCCTACTTTGGCATGTGCCTTCTATCAGGCTCGACTAGAGGAGGCCGCCATTAAAGCTTGAAAGTGTAAGACTCGTAAGACGTCTTCTTATCGCTGGTTGGTTGCTGCTTCACCGGTTTCGACAAAGTCTTCACCATCACCTCCTTCTTTTCCCTCCACCGATCGACCTTCCGTTCATCGCGGGCAGAGCCTTTCCTACAAATACGGCGACAAGTACTTCCACGGTCATATATGTGCTCGAAAAAGCAACAACAGGTTATGCATGCTGAGGAATCTCCATCACCAAGTGAAGCTGAAGATGGTGAAGAAGACTTCCACGACGCTGAGCTTGAGGTTTCTCTGCAGGCTATGGGTTCGGGATTTTCGGGTAATTCACCATATACTAGCTATAGAGAGGCACAAGGAGGTAACTATTCTTATTGATACTGGAAGTTCTCATACCTTCTTGAACTCGATTAGGCCTAAAGAATTGAATTGCCTGACTGAATGCATTGCTCATATGAGGGTTAAGGTAGCTAGTGGCCACACCCTGCTTAGCAATTCAGTTTGTAGGGTCTTTAGTTTGAAAATGCAGGGTCAGAGTTTGGGTTTGATGTCATAACACTGAAATTGCCTTCTCATGATCTTGTTTTGGGTTGGGATTGGTTGGAAACCATTAGTCCTTTTCAAGTGGACCTTAAGAAGAGGCAGTTGACCTTTGAATGAAAAGGGGGCACTCTCACCCTTCAAGGCCTCTCTAAGGATGATCAGTGTAAGATGATGATTGGGCGCAACTTCCAGCAGCTCCTTAAGAAACCTTTCTCTCACCTTACTAGAGTAGTGTTTTCCATTAAAGCCACTCCAACCCCTAGTCCCACTCCACCCTTCTTGAAACCCTTACTTGCCACCTACTCAAATGTGTTTGCTGCTCCCTCTTTCCTTCCTCATACCCGCACTTTGACAATACCATTCCTCTTCTGCCATATACTAAACCCATTAATATTCGCCCTTATCGTTTCTCTCCCCACCAGAAAGTTGTGGCATATAAACTGGTGGCTGAAATGCTTCAATCTGAGTTGGATAGGATGTCACTTGGCGATTTTGTGTAGATTACAGGAATTTAAATGCGGCTACTATCAAATACAAGTTCTCCATCCCACATAGAGGAGATCTATTAGATGAGCTACATGGTTCTGTCATATTCTCAAAACTGGATCTAAGGGCAGGATACCACCAAATTCGTATGTATCCAGTTGATCAATTCAAAACTGCTTTCAGGACTCACCAATGCCACTATAAGTTCAGGGTTATGCCCTTTGTCCTCACAAACGCTTCTGCCACCTTCCAGGCTCTCATGAATCATGTGTTTGGCAAATACTTGAGGCAGTTTATTCTCGTTTTCTTCGACGACATTCTTGTATACACCAAGACAGAAGAGGCTTATCTACAACACGTGA